AAGCTTGAGATGAAATGAAAGAAGTGGTATCCAGACTGCGTCAAAAACATATACAGTGTAAGTGTTTGTGTAGAGGAGAAGGGGCTGAGTATGGACGTTAGGAAAGGTTATGGGGGTCTAACTTTGTAATCTTTGCCTTTCTGCTGATCTCAGACACCAACACCTTCAGCGGCGCTAACAAAGAGGCCACAACGCTCTGTCGTCGCTCTGTCTGGAATCTGACCAGACCTTGGAGCCCACTGCAATCCTTTTCACTTACATAGAAGAATGGCTTTGAAGTAACGTAGCTACCAGAGACCAAAACAGAAAAGAAGTCCTCAGGTTTTCATTTCAGTGATACATTACAATACAATAGAAAACAACTTATTTTTGTATCGCCCTAAATCACAACAGCATCATCTCAGAGACTTAACAAAACCACTGAAATCACCAACACAGATCAGAGAATCAACAGTTAAGACACATAATATACACATATGTATTGGTCCATAGGGAGAGACAAATGTCCATGTAGGTTGATAAATGTCCATACATGTGGTAAGGAAGTCATGTTTATTTGTACAGAGCATTTTTACAGACCAAGCTCACCCAAAGCGAGACCTGAACACACTGGTCCATAAAAGCCTCCGACCAAACACCATTGTAGAATGTTAGTGTCCTGGATCATCACAATCCTTCTTGTTAGACTCTCACTGTCCAACAGACTCCTGCATCAGAGGAAAAACTCTAAAACCCAGAGGGAGTAAAGTGAGAAGCCTCAGAGAGAACAACAGTGATAGATCAGAATAACACTACATCAAAGTTACACATGCTGCAGTTCAATTCTTGGAACATAATTCTTTGGCTTATTTTTAGATCTCTGCTGCTGCCAACTTCACGAATGATGTTTGATTTGTTAATTTACTTATTGATGTTACGTATAAACCGATTACACCTCTGTGTTCAGGACCCGTCTGCATTTGGACCAACATAAGGTCCTGGCGGGTCAGACACACTGAGGTTGGACTGTTGTACTTCATTCTATTTCACTCATCCAATAAAAGTGATTACATTTTGCAGTCTAATTAAATACCTCCAAAAATACTCCAGCCTTGGACCCTCTCGTGTGAAGTCTGTCATTCCCAACGTCCATCTCTCTCCGGCGGTGGATGTCGTGGTCGCCCGCTCTCTTCCTCTCCACTCCGCTCTAATTACGGCGAGACAAAAGCGTTTGATTGGAGCCTCCTCTCCTCCCACTCAGAGCTGTCAGGCCTTCTGTAGGAGCCAGTTCATTTCACACTTACTGCATGCTTTAATTAAAAACCGTCTGAGGGGGAGGGTGGAAACCAGGCACACATCACGCTAAGGTCTGAAAACAGGCACGCATCATGCTAAGGTCTGAAAACAGGCACGCATCATGCTAAGGTCTGAAAACAGGCACGCATCATGCTAAGGTCTGAAAACAGGCACGCATCATGCTAAGGTCTGAAAACAGGCACGTATCACGCTAAGGTCTGAAAACAGGCACGCATCACGCTAAGGTCTGAAAACAGGCACACATCATGCTAAGGTCTGAAAACAGGCACGCATCACGCTAAGGTCTGAAAACAGGCACGCATCATGCTAAGGTCTGAAAACAGGCACGTATCACGCTAAGGTCTGAAAACAGGCACGCATCACGCTAAGGTCTGAAAACAGGCACGCATCATGCTAAGGTCTGAAAACAGGCACGCATCACGCTAAGGTCTGAAAACAGGCACGCATCATGCTAAGGTCTGAAACCAGGCACGCATCATGCTAAGGTCTGAAAACAGGCACGCATCATGCTAAGGTCTGAAAACAGGCACGCATCACGCTAAGGTCTGAAAACAGGCACGCATCATGCTAAGGTCTGAAAACAGGCACGCATCATGCTAAGGTCTGAAAACAGGCACGCATCACGCTAAGGTCTGAAAACAGGCACGCATCATGCTAAGGTCTGAAAACAGGCACGTATCACGCTAAGGTCTGAAAACAGGCACGCATCACGCTAAGGTCTGAAAACAGGCACGCATCATGCTAAGGTCTGAAAACAGGCACGCATCATGCTAAGGTCTGAAAACAGGCACGCATCACGCTAAGGTCTGAAACCAGGCACGCATCATGCTAAGGTCTGAAACCAGGCACGCATCATGCTAAGGTCTGAAAACAGGCACGCATCATGCTAAGGTCTGAAAACAGGCACGCATCATGCTAAGGTCTGAAAACAGGCACGCATCATGCTAAGGTCTGAAAACAGGCACGTATCACGCTAAGGTCTAAAACCAGGCACGCATCACGCTAAGGTCTAAAACCAGGCACGTGTAGCATGTGGCTACGCTAAACTATTACAGGTCAGGTAATAATTTGACACACACACTATCAAGTTCTGGGCTAAAAATCAGAAGTCCCAGTTCGGCTCTAAGAGTGGAGAGAGACACAATGAAACACTTGAATTTTGCAGATGGCACCCCCACATGTATTGAATTTAAAGAGACTATGACAAACAACAAACAATGACATACAAGAAATTTACATATATAGACAATGAGTTCTGTTTGGCTTCCGGAATTGTCTGCTTCAACGGTTGCACAAATGTTAGAGTACGCGAAGCGCACAAAAAAAAATATAATCCAAGTGCTCGTTCAGTGAGTGGTTGTTTGGTTGGGCTCAGATATTCCAAAGGGGTGAGTTTTAACGGGTGAATGTGAGTCAAAATGAAGTGAGCCCCTCACTTTGAACACGAGGACAAATCAAAAGGGAAAAAGGGCGGCTACAGGAGCCTCCTACCCGACCGGAGTAGGAGGATGCAGTTGTCTGACTGGACTGAGTTCCTCTCTTGGAGCTCAACTCTGGTTCGGGACTAAGCTCGCCATCCGGAACCTCCTGGCCTAAGTAATAGAGCCAAGGTTCAATTAAAAGTCTATGTGCACATAATCGAAATCTAACCATTACAAACACTATTCATAATACATAATGCAATATGCACTAAATAAAACAGTGAATGCATCTCATTGTACAATAATCAAACTCAGTCAAATAACACTAGTACTAAGTGCATCAAAAATGTTAAATAGTATATATTAATCATCAATATCAATAGTGACCAATGAACCATGGCACTACAGTATACTTCTACATATGTATACAAAACATTGTAAAACAATCATACTTCAAAGTGCATTTAAAGTATCTAAGTATCAGTGCCTACTAAATGCATACCGTTATAAAACATACAAAAAGCACCATATAAAAGCACATACATTTGGAAAACCCGGCATTAACTAAATGCTAATCCGAGTCATTGAAATGCATTGGTTAGCTTAGCGTAGCATGTCCAATGTAACCGAATGGGAAAACGGGCTAGGCTAACGGCTAAGCTAGCGCTCCGCGTCACTCACCAGTTCTCCAATGTGAAACGCACACACACGCTTCCCTCACAGCCGACGGATCAACAGAGGCTCCTACAAGTATTATAGCAGCTGCATTAATTCAAGAGCATTCAGAAAGACAGCAATGACAGCAGCAACATACCTGCAGCTTCTTTCCCAACCCGCTTCTACCGGCAACCACACAGTCTGTCAATATGGCTACTGACGGTCATGTGACTGATAGACGTGATGACGTATATTATGCACGCAGCGCGCAGTGAAAAATATATTTAACTTATTTTATGCTTACACATTACACAAATATATATATATAAATATATATATGGTTTTTTACCTGGGTTACATCTTCCCCCTCTAAAATCATGCAACTCCCGATGCATGGCTAAACATCATAAACAGGAGGATGCAACAGATCGGATGCTACAGAGGTAGGAAGTGCACTGCTGTACGCATCAAGCAACCCATGAAAGAGTGTCTGTACAACAGAAATAAGCGGACGCCCCAATGCTGAATACTGAAGGCGATCGGGCGGTTGGCGCTGTCGACTAGAACGTCGCAAAACTGTATCGGATTCAACTGCGGTAACGGCCGGCGTATTAGGTACTCTAACTGCTTCGATCGGACTGATCAATGACTCATCGGTATTGGATGATGCCCCTGCTTGGCCAGGGAGCTCTTGTTCTTCAGTCGTTTCCTCGATAAGGAGTTCTTCAGATATTGGATCTTCACCAGGCTCTGGCTCTTCAGTCACAAGCGGATGTGTTTCAGCGGTAGCAGAGGAATCTCCATCTTGAGGTAAGTTGTTTTCTTCTTCCACAGGTGAATCAATATGCGGAAGCGAAAGGCTGGCATCTGCAGAGGATTTGGGGTCTCGGATTCCAAGCTCAGCCACATCATTGGAGAGAGGACAAACACCACTGAATGTAAATGAGGCTGGCTGTATTTGAGCTTGAGGCAACTCCCATCCTCCATCTTCATCCTGATCTTCATCCAAATCCTCAGTTACCTGATTCTGGCTTCGGGTTTGAGGACGACGTGGTGGGGTAATAGCTGTAACTTCCAAATCATCATCATCTGGCAGGAACGGACAAGGAAGGAGGAGATCGCGATGCAGGGTACGGATCGGTCCCTCCCTGTTCTCAACACACACGGTGTAAACTGGTAAGTTGCCTGCACGTTTCAGGACGGTGTAAACATCACGCTCCCATTTATTCTCAAGTTTATGCTTCCCACGAAGTCTGACATTGCGAACAAGCACTCTGTCTCCTACCTCCAGGCTGGAGGGAGTCACTCGCTTGTCAAATCGAATCTTATTTCTTTCGCCTGATTTGGCAGCATTCTTGGCCGCAATATCAAAACTTTCTTTGAGTCTGGATCGGAGGCTTTCGACATACTGGAAATGAGATGTCGTCTGGTTCTTCTGCAGAGGGAGGCCAAAAGCGAGATCCACTGGAAGACGCGGCGAACGACCGAACATCAACTCGTACGGTGTAAAACCAGTGACGTCATTTCGAGTGCAGTTGTACGCGTGCACTAGTGGCTTCACATAGTCCTTCCACCTCGCCTTCTGCTTCTGCGCCAGCGTCCCAAGCATTCCAAGTAGGGTCCGGTTGAATCTCTCGACTGGATTCCCTCGGGGATGGTAAGGAGTTGTCCTGGATTTTTGGATACCAGCGAGATGGCAAAGCTCCTTGATCAACTTTGATTCGAAATCAGGACCTTGGTCCGTGTGTAGTCGCTCCGGTATACCATAACAAACAATAAAGTTCTCCCACAAGCATTTGGCCACGGTCCTTGCCTTCTGATTTGCAGTGGGAAGAGCTATGGCAAACTTTGTAAAATGATCAGTAATAACAAGAATGTCCTTTGTGTTGCTTTGATCTGGTTCAAGTGATAGATAGTCCATGCAAATCAATTCCAAGGGCCGTGTTGTTTGGATGTTGACCAATGGTGTAGATCTTTCTGGAAGAGCTTTGCGCCTGACACAACGACTGCACGTTCTGATTTTGGACTCTACATCAGCTGCCATATGAGGCCAAAAGAAACGGCATCGCACGAGATCTAACGTTCGTTCGATGCCCATGTGCCCCATGTCATCGTGAAGGCTTGTTAGAACGATCGACCTTAGCTCTTCAGGTAACACCAACTGGAATGAAACTTGTTCCCTCTCTTGCCTTCTCCGATACAAGATGTCCTCTTGTAGCTCAAGACGGTTAAGTTCTCTCAGCAGCAGTGCTAAGTCTGGGAGTTCATGCTTGGCGGTAGGAGGTACTTTTTCTCCACTTTCCATCTGATAGATGACCTCCCGTATCACTGGATCAGCGCGTTGCTTCTCTCTGAGCTGGGCCTTTGATAGTGTGGGGACTACCGGAAGACCATTGTCAGTTTCTCTGGCATAACATTCTGGAACGGCATCTGCTGATAAACTCAAGGACTCAACCAGGGTGATTGGACGCTCTGTGGAGCTGCTTTGATGGCTGTTGACGAGACAGCGGTGGCATATGGCAGACACAACATCAGAGTCCAGATCCTCAACTTCACTTGGGTCCATGACGTGTTCTTGAGTGAACTTATTTATTAAATCCCAGTCTTTTTGTACCACAACGTCAGCACGCGGAGGGTGAGGGCGGCGAGAAAGAGCATCAGCATCGAGGTTCTGAGTTCCTGCTCTGTACTGCAGTTTGAATGTGTAGGTGGAAAGGGCAGCGAGCCACCTGTGGCTAGCGGCGTCCAGCTTTGCTGATGTTAAAAGGTAAGTGAGTGGGTTGTTATCTGTCACTACCAAAAAGTGGCCCCCGTACAGATAATCGTGTAGCTTCTCTGTCACACTCCACTTCAAAGCAAGAAATTCAAGCTTGTGTGCCGGATACCTCGATTCACTGGGTGACAACCCTCGGCTAGCGTAAGCAATCACCCGCAGTTGCCCTTCTTGCTCTTGATATAAAGCCGCTCCGAGCCCTGTAGTACTGGCATCAGTATGTAATATGTATGGCAGCTTTGGGTCGGCGAAACCCAAGACCGGGGAACTCGTCAGCTTCTCAATCAACGTTTCAAAGGCGGATTGGCATGCTGGAGACCATCGCTCTCCAAAAGGCTGCTTCACATCATAGCTCTTGTCTGGACTGGGCTTCGCTTGGTTCTTGGAAGTGGGTGCATAACCACGTGTGAGGTCATTTAACGGTTTAGCGATGGCAGCATAACTTTTGATGAACCTCCTGTAATAGCCAGCAAAACCTAAGAATGAACGGAGCTCTTTGAGTGTTTTGGGAACTGGCCAGGATTTCAGAGCTTGAAGCTTATCTGGATCCGTCTTCACTCCCTCCTCTGACACAATGTGCCCCAGATATCTCACCGACGTCTGGAAAAACTTGCACTTTTCCGGAGAGAGCTTCAGGCCGTACTGCTTCAACCGATGAAGCACCCGCAGCAACCTCTGCTCATGTTCTTCCAATGAACTGGAAAATACAATCAGATCATCAAGAAAAACAAGCACTTCTTGCAAATTGAGGTCTCCCATGCATTTCTCCATTAGCCGTTGGAAAGTACTCGGCGCATTTGTTACCCCTTGAGGCATGCGATTAAACTCCCAAAAACCCAGTGGCGTGACAAATGCAGTCTTTGCTTTGTCCGCCTCGTCCATCTCAATCTGGTAGTAGCCCGATTTCAAATCAAGCACGCTGAACCACCGGGAGCCGGTCAATGCTGAAAACGCCTCCTCTGGGTTGGGCAGGGCATAGGCATCTTTAACAGTCTGTAAGTTCAACTTGCGATAATCGATACACAACCGTATGTCTCCATTCTTTTTACGAACGACAACAATTGGTGAAGAGAACGGAGACTCAGATTCTCTAATGACACCAGCTTCCAGCAGATCGCGCAGATGTTGTCGCACTGCTTCAACATCTTGTGGATGGACTGGTCGAGCTTTGTGTTTAAAAGGTGTTTCATCATGAAGTTTTATAGTGTGCTTTACCTTGTCCGTGCATCCAAAATCTAACTCGTGATGGGAGAAGACTTCAGGAATCTCATTGAGTTTCTCGACAATCCTGCTCTTCCATTCTTGGGGAATTGGAGACTCTCCAAAATCCAAATTCAGAGTCTTTGGCAATCTCTCAGACGATGAGCGGGTAGAGAGTACGCCGTGGGACAAGATCTGCGGAGATGTCGTAAGCTCTGCAATGGTAAGGAATGGTGGAATGGTTATGTCTTGATCAGAGTCATTGGTGAGAGTGACAGGGATCTTCTTGTGGGATTGGCTTGGGAGCATAACAAGGGAGTTCTTAACACACAGCCCACCTGGCAGTTGTGAGGCTGGATGCTCCACTAGCGCCCACTGACCTGGATTTGGCATGCCAATGTTTATGGAACCATCAACGATGGTGGTGTGTCCAGCAGGGATGAGAATGGGGGACTTGCTGGCCAACCTTATTACTCCACTGGTGCCCACCTGTTGCTGGTGGCGTATTTGCAGGAGTTTAAGAACTGCTTTGAACCCATGGGCCTCAGGTTGGAAATCTGCACACTCACTCCCCATGTACTTGCTGTACAGTGGCTCCAATGTGTTCATGCCAATTAACACTGGGGACGGGGTATCTAAACGAACATCCGGGACAACGAGTGCCAGAGTCGACACATCAAAATCAGCCCCCAGGAACTCTCTTGGAAACGTGACCATCATCTCCACATACCCCAAGTAGGGGACAGCTTGTCCTGCAGCACCCTCAATATGCAATAGGTCACACAATGGCTTTAGCGGCTGATCTGCGAAATAGCTGTTGTAAAATGAAACTGGAATGGTTGTAACCTGCGACCCTGTATCGAGGAGGCAATTACATTCGTGATTGGAGACTTTAAGGGTGGCTGTGCAACGGGAACCAATTAGACCTTTTGGTAACCGTGACGGGACGTTCTTTGGGATCTGATTAACTTCACATGTCACAACGGGTTTCTGCTTGCAGTTGGGACGTTGTTGGTCCGCAAAAGTTCCGGTTTGCCCCTCAACCAGAACTGCATCTAGTTTAAAGACTGGGTATTGGGGGTCTGCCACTTGGATTGTCTTTCTGCAAACTGTTTCTTCTTGGCAGCCACCAGAGCAGAGTTAGGGGGATTGTCGCAGTTGGGCTTGATGTGCCCGTCCTCACCACACCTGTAGCAGTAGCCGGGCTTGGGTGCAGAAGGCAGGTTCTTTGAGTACTTGCCTGCCCTCTGACCTTCCACCTTATGGTCATAGGTGCGCTTGGAAGCAGTATTTTGGCTTGTGCTTGATTGGCCGGCAGTAAGTAACGCAAGCTGCTTCTGGATGTCGGCTAGCTGCTGTGCCAGTTGCTGGGTGACGCTGGTAAGGGCGGCTATCTCCCCTCTCTCTGTAGTGTTTGTATATGCATATTGAGCATGGGCAGAAACTCTGGGTCTGGTTGATCCAAGATGCTGCTTCATTCAAATGGCTTTAGCTGCTTCACGGTCCTCCTCGGTTCGCAGTAACAGCAGAAAATCCGCAAAGATTGGGGGATTATTTTTTCGTTGTTTCAACTGTAGTTCGGTAATGAGGGCATGTCCCAACAGCCACGGCAGAATTGGGCCAACAAATGTCTTTCATTGTCTTTGATTACTGCTCCCCCACGCTTGACAGCCATGTTCAAAGCAATCTGCAGACGTTGCAGATATGCAGACGCTTTCTCGCCAGCATCTTGAAAGGTGTCCAGGAATTTGGCATACAGCTCCTCCCCGTCCTGGACAGTGCCGTATGCAGAATCAAGAGTCTGTAAATAGATAAAAGGTGATGTATCTGGCTGTAAATGCTTCACCACATCAGCGGCGGGCGGCAGTAAACTTTCAAATATTTTCCGTGAACGCTGCAGGTCAGACACTGCAGGGTCTTTCAATACGAGATCGATGCCGGAACGCCATGTATCATAGTCGGATTCATTCTGCGGTCGGGGCAGCCGTCCAGAAAAGGCCCGGATGCGATGGTTGGAATACTGTCCCATACCGTCCTCATTCTTCACTATGTGCTCAACTACATAGCGCTGAATTTGCGGTGGATTCAATTCCTGTTGAGACATCGCTGGTAGCGAACGGCGGGGTGTATTCGGGAAAGTGGCCTCGGCCTGGCTTCCAGGGAAGTTTCTGGCGCCACCAGCAGGAGCAATAGGTGGATCCGCGTCAGCAGCTGGTGGTTGGACATTGGCGGGGATTGGTGGTAATCCATCCTTGTTGTCCTCAGTACTCCCATCTTCGTCTGTCGTACTGTGGAGCCTGCTGACAGTCTGACCAAGCAGAGGCATCATACCACTAAGTACAACAGCAAAATCTTGACCAGTTTGTTTCGCTACAGTCTCAAGTTGGTTCAAATACATCAGAGTTTGCATCTTTCCCACTTCATCAGCGAGAAGGAGAGACAAGTCAAGTAGCTTATAACTAACTTCATCGTCCACGCAATCATATGTATAAGGCAACATTTTGCGCAGAGCAACGAGCGGTTGTTCTGAACTGTATTCAACCACAATAGAATGGTGAAACAGGGATTCAGAGTCATCAATGCACTCACACTTACGGATAGACCCAAACCGCTTCAGAAATTCCACAACTTCATCATCGGTAGCCGTTTTAGTCGCGTCTTGGACTAAGATTGAGTTTGCAATTTTAATGCCAAGTTTCTCAAATGTTTCCATATCTTCCAAATACAATACAACCTTCAAAAAAAAAAATGTTTGTCTCACGTTAATCCACTCCTGGCTAGCTCGCCAAGAATTATGTAGCATGTGGCTACGCTAAACTATTACAGGTCAGGTAATAATTTGACACACACACTATCAAGTTCTGGGCTAAAAATCAGAAGTCCCAGTTCGGCTCTAAGAGTGGAGAGAGACACAATGAAACACTTGAATTTTGCAGATGGCACCCCCACATGTATTGAATTTAAAGAGACTATGACAAACAACAAACAATGACATACAAGAAATTTACATATATAGACAATGAGTTCTGTTTGGCTTCCGGAATTGTCTGCTTCAACGGTTGCACAAATGTTAGAGTACGCGAAGCGCACAAAAAAAAATATAATCCAAGTGCTCGTTCAGTGAGTGGTTGTTTGGTTGGGCTCAGATATTCCAAAGGGTGAGTTTTAACGGGTGAATGTGAGTCAAAATGAAGTGAGCCCCTCACTTTGAACACGAGGACAAATCAAAAGGGAAAAAGGGCGGCTACAGGAGCCTCCTACCCGACCGGAGTAGGAGGATGCAGTTGTCTGACTGGACTGAGTTCCTCTCTTGGAGCTCAACTCTGGTTCGGGACTAAGCTCGCCATCCGGAACCTCCTGGCCTAAGTAATAGAGCCAAGGTTCAATTAAAAGTCTATGTGCACATAATCGAAATCTAACCATTACAAACACTATTCATAATACATAATGCAATATGCACTAAATAAAACAGTGAATGCATCTCATTGTACAATAATCAAACTCAGTCAAATAACACTAGTACTAAGTGCATCAAAAATGTTAAATAGTATATATTAATCATCAATATCAATAGTGACCAATGAACCATGGCACTACAGTATACTTCTACATATGTATACAAAACATTGTAAAACAATCATACTTCAAAGTGCATTTAAAGTATCTAAGTATCAGTGCCTACTAAATGCATACCGTTATAAAACATACAAAAAGCACCATATAAAAGCACATACATTTGGAAAACCCGGCATTAACTAAATGCTAATCCGAGTCATTGAAATGCATTGGTTAGCTTAGCGTAGCATGTCCAATGTAACCGAATGGGAAAACGGGCTAGGCTAACGGCTAAGCTAGCGCTCCGCGTCACTCACCAGTTCTCCAATGTGAAACGCACACACACGCTTCCCTCACAGCCGACGGATCAACAGAGGCTCCTACAAGTATTATAGCAGCTGCATTAATTCAAGAGCATTCAGAAAGACAGCAATGACAGCAGCAACATACCTGCAGCTTCTTTCCCAACCCGCTTCTACCGGCAACCACACAGTCTGTCAATATGGCTACTGACGGTCATGTGACTGATAGACGTGATGACGTATATTATGCACGCAGCGCGCAGTGAAAAATATATTTAACTTATTTTATGCTTACACATTACACAAATATATATATATAAATATATATATGGTTTTTTACCTGGGTTACACACGCATCATGCTAAGGTCTGAAACCAGGCACGCATCACGCTAAGGTCTAAAACCAGGCACGCATCATGCTAAGGTCTGAAAACAGGCACGCATCATGCTAAGGTCTGAAAACAGGCACGCATCACGCTAAGGTCTGAAAACAGGCACGCATCATGCTAAGGTCTGAAAACAGGCACGCATCACGCTAAGGTCTGAAACCAGGCACGCATCATGCTAAGGTCTGAAACCAGGCACGCATCATGCTAAGGTCTGAAACCAGGCACGCATCACGCTAAGGTCTAAAACCAGGCACGCATCATGCTAAGGTCTGAAAACAGGCACGTATCATGCTAAGGTCTGAAAACAGGCACGCATCATGCTAAGGTCTGAAAACAGGCACGCATCATGCTAAGGTCTGAAAACAGGCACGCATCACGCTAAGGTCTGAAAACAGGCACGCATCATGCTAAGGTCTGAAAACAGGCACGCATCATGCTAAGGTCTGAAAACAGGCACGCATCACGCTAAGGTCTGAAAACAGGCACGCATCATGCTAAGGTCTGAAAACAGGCACGCATCATGCTAAGGTCTGAAAACAGGCACGCATCACGCTAAGGTCTGAAACCAGGCACGCATCATGCTAAGGTCTGAAACCAGGCACGCATCATGCTAAGGTCTGAAAACAGGCACGCATCATGCTAAGGTCTGAAAACAGGCACGCATCATGCTAAGGTCTGAAAACAGGCACGCATCACGCTAAGGTCTGAAACCAGGCACGCATCATGCTAAGGTCTGAAAACAGGCACGCATCATGCTAAGGTCTGAAAACAGGCACGTATCACGCTAAGGTCTAAAACCAGGCACGCATCACGCTAAGGTCTAAAACCAGGCACGCATCATGCTAAGGTCTGAAACCAGGCACGCATCACGCTAAGGTCTAAAACCAGGCACGCATCATGCTAAGGTCTGAAAACAGGCACGTATCATGCTAAGGTCTGAAAACAGGCACGCATCATGCTAAGGTCTGAAAACAGGCACGCATCATGCTAAGGTCTGAAAACAGGCACGCATCACGCTAAGGTCTGAAAACAGGCACGCATCATGCTAAGGTCTGAAACCAGGCACGCATCATGCTAAGGTCTGAAAACAGGCACGCATCATGCTAAGGTCTGAAAACAGGCACGTATCACGCTAAGGTCTGAAAACAGGCACGCATCACGCTAAGGTCTGAAAACAGGCACGCATCATGCTAAGGTCTGAAAACAGGCACGCATCATGCTAAGGTCTGAAAACAGGCACGCATCATGCTAAGGTCTGAAAACAGGCACGCATCACGCTAAGGTCTGAAACCAGGCACGCATCATGCTAAGGTCTGAAACCAGGCACGCATCATGCTAAGGTCTGAAAACAGGCACGCATCATGCTAAGGTCTGAAAACAGGCACGCATCACGCTAAGGTCTGAAAACAGGCACGCATCACGCTAAGGTCTGAAACCAGGCACGCATCATGCTAAGGTCTGAAAACAGGCACGCATCATGCTAAGGTCTGAAACCAGGCACGCATCATGCTAAGGTCTGAAAACAGGCACGTATCACGCTAAGGTCTGAAAACAGGCACGCATCACGCTAAGGTCTGAAACCAGGCACGCATCATGCTAAGGTCTGAAAACAGGCACGCATCATGCTAAGGTCTGAAAACAGGCACGCATCATGCTTGTGTTTCTTATGGCGGCTTGGTGCTTTACGTCTCGTCTCATGGCGGCTCAGTTTCTCATCAACAACAACTTATTCTTGTATATCCCTGAATCACGACAGAAATCAACTCAGAAACTTAACAAAACCATTTAAATCACCAACACAGATCAGAGAATCAACAGTTAACACACAAAATATACACATAAGAGTTGGTCCATAGGGAGAGACCAGTGCCCATGTAGGTGGATAAATGTCATACATGTTGTAGAATGTTAAAGTGTCCTGGATCATCACCACAGTCCTTCTAGTCGGACTCTAACTGCCCAACAGACCCTCCTGCATTGGCAAGGATAAACTCACAAAAACCCAGTAGGAAAAAGTGAGAAACCTCGGAGACCCACATATTGAGAGAGGGATCCGCTCCGACATGGACGAATGGGCTAATGATCCAAGACCGAAGCTACAGGACCAATGCCGCGCAGCGGCCGCTGAGCGTGGACAGGTCCGGTGCAGGACTGACCCCAGACGGGTTGGGCAGGGCAGTCCGCAGATGAAGGTGAAGGAGGCCAGGTTCGGAGGTCCCGTTGTCGCTCCATGAAACAGACAATGGAACAACGGGTGAATAGCAATGAACACACTACAGTCAAAATCCTAAAAATGCTAAACAGGTAAAGTAGGAAGGAGGAGAGGATAGTGCTCAAGTTACCATACTTCTCCAGCAGGGGGCTCCCTATGCAGCTTGACTGACAGTCTGAGGAGTTTAGCCTTCCCTGAGTCTTACGATCCTCGTCATATGCTAAACTAAAGAGGCCTGTTATGAGCCACAACGGCTCGGTGTCTCGTGGTGGCTCAGTGTCTCGTGGTGGCTCAGTGTCTCATGCGGCTCAGTGTCTCGTGGTGGCTCAGTGTCTCGTGGTGGCTCAGTGTCTCGTGGTGGCTCAGTGTCTCGTGGTGGCTCAGTGTCTCGTGGTGGCTCAGTGTCTCGTGGCGGCTCAGTTTCTGTACTGTCCTATGTTAAAATACATAAATAAATAATGTGTGACAAAAGCTGGTCCTTTAAAGTCCTTTAGTGCATCTGTTGTGATTGAGGCTCAGAAAACATTTGGATAAAGCCTAATTCCCGCCATCCACATTTATTTATATATTGAATCCTTCACTCTCCATCCTCCTGGTAATGGCAGCTGGAGTACTGTTCGCACAAAGACACTCAGCTCACACTTATTTGTCCACATAAACAAAACCAAAAGTATTAAACCCATCCGCCCTCTCCCTCTTCAGCAGCACCACAGCAGCACATGATCATGATAACCCTCGTTACTGAGATATGGATGATCACAGTCACACCCACCATTGTTGAAGTCATCCATCACCCAGACTGTGATTTCACTTAGACTTTATATCCTGCAAATCTCTGGTCAGTGGGATTCTATGGTAATCTGGAACACATCACAAGCAACGCCGTCAAAGATGTATTTACAACTCGGTTCTGTTTTCCTTTGTTTGTCCCACCTCCTCTTGCTACGAACAACAATCACTGTCTATTGGTTGAATGCAATGAGTATGTCACACACGTAATGCATAGTAATAACTGAGAATAAGATTAACATATAACAAAAGGGTAATGGGGAAATTGTTAGAATGAGCTATTTATATGGTTTGTTTGTTTGGATGGATCTGTCTGTGTCTGTCTGTGTCTGTGCCTGTGTCTGTCTGTGTCTGTGTCTGTCTGTGTCTGTCTGTGCCTGTGTCTGTCTGTGTCTGTCTGTGTCTGTGCCTGTGTCTGTCTGTGTCTGTGTCTGTGTCTGTCTATGTCTGTCTGTGTCTGTCTGTGCCTGTGTCTGTCTGTGTCTGTCTGTGTCTGTGCCTGTGTCTGTCTGTGTCTGTGTCTGTGTCTGTCTATGTCTGTCTGTGTCTGTCTGTCTGTGTCTGTCTGTGCCTGTGTCTGTCTGTGTCTGTGTCTGTGCCTGTGTCTGTCTGTGTCTGTGCCTGTGTGTGTCTGTCTGTGTCTGTGCCTGTGTCTGTGCCTGTGTCTGTCTGTGTCTGTCTGTGCCTGTGTCTGTCTGTGTCTGTGTCTGTGCCTGTGTCTGTCTGTGTCTGTCTGTGTCTGTGCCTGTGTCTGTCTGTGTCTGTGTCTGTCTGTGTCTGTCTATGTCTGTCTGTGTCTGTGCCTGTGTCTGTCTATGTCTGTCTGTGTCTGTCTGTCTGTGTCTGTCTGTGCCTGTGTCTGTCTGTGTCTGTGTCTGTGCCTGTGTCTGTCTGTGTCTGTGCCTGTGTGTGTCTGTCTGTGTCTGTGCCTGTATCTGTCTGTGTCTGTCTGTGTCTGTGTCTGTGTGTGTCTGTCTGTGTCTGTGCCTGTGTCTGTGCCTGTGTCTGTCTGTGTCTGTCTGTGTCTGTCTGTGTCTGTCTGTGTCTGTCTATGTCTGTCTGTGTCTGTGCCTGTGTCTGTCTATGTCTGTCTGTGTCTGTCTGTCTGTGTCTGTCTGTGCCTGTGTCTGTCTGTGTCTGTGCCTGTGTCTGTGCCTGTGTCTGTGCCTGTGTCTGTCTGTGTCTGTGCCTGTGTCTGTGTGTTATTTAAAGTATAAAATAATAGAGATTTTTGAACAAATCTCTCTGGTCTTATTGGACGAGCACGTATCACCAAAATGATTGACAGTTAGGATGACCAACCGTTTTGATGATCCACCCGGAAGTAGAAAATCCTCCTATAAACCTTTGATAAATGATTTTAAACAGTAATCCGTAAGGACCCAGGTAAAGATTCAGAGAATAGAATGTGTGTCTGTGGCACTTCTTTACGTTGGGTCCATTGCAATATCCCTCTACAGTTTTTCTCAGTGTCTTTGGTGCATTTTTCACATCACTCTTCACATTTGCACAACTGTTAGTGCATTTCTCAGAACAATTAGTGCAAACTGCAAAACCTTGTGGTTAACCTGCAAAACCTTCTCAAAATGAAAAGTTAATTCCTCAAAAGCAAATCTTAGTGTCAATAAGCTAGTAAGTAAGTAAGCTTTTTATTTATATACCGCCTTTTCACTGCACATCGGAGTCTCAAAGCGGTTTACAATTGTTATTTTTTGTTTTTTTTTTGGGAGTGGGGGTGCCAGTACAGGAGGCACATGCCATACCTATTGTACATATTTTTTGTGGTAGGGGAAACCGGAGCACCCGGAGGAAACCTACGCAGACACGGGGAGAACATGCAAACTCCACTCAGAAAGGCCCTGGTCCAACCGGGATTTGAACCCAGGACCTTCTTGCTGAGAGGCGAGAGTGCTATCCACTCAGCCACCGTGCCGCCCAGACAATAGACAGACAATAAAACTGTCTTTGCCGTCAAAATAATAAGTCCTAACACCATTGAGTATGAACAACACAGTCACATGACTTAGTCATTAGTATAGCAGTATAGTGCCATGGTATAGCAGTGCCATGGTATAGCCGTGCCATGGTATAGCCGTGCCATGGTATAACCGTGCCATGGTATAGCCGTGCCATGGTAGAGCCGTGCCATGGTAGAGCCGTGCCATGGTATATCCGTGCCATGGTATATCCGTGCCATGGTATAGCCGTGCCATGGTATATCCGTGCCATGGTATATCCGTGCCATGGTATAGCCGTGCCATGGTATAGCCGTGCCATGGTATAGCCGTGCCATGGTATAGCCGTGCCATGGTAGAGCCGTGCCATGGTAGAGCCGTGCCATGGTATATCCGTGCCATGGTATATCCGTGCCATGGTATAGCCGTGCCATGGTATATCCGTGCCATGGTATATCCGTGCCATGGTAAAGCCGTGCCATGGTATAGCCGTGCCATGGTATAGCCGTGCCATGGTATAGCCGTGCCATGGTAGAGCCGTGCCATGGTAGAGCCGTGCCATGGTAGAGCCGTGCCATGGTATAGCCGTGCCATGGTAGAGCCGTGCCATGGTAGAGCCGTGCCATGGTATAGCCGTGCCATGGTATATCCGTGCCATGGTATATCCGTGCCATGGTAGAGCCGTGCCATGGTATAGCCGTGCCATGGTATAGCCGTGCCATGGTATAGCCGTGCCATGGTATATCCGTGCCATGGTAGAGCCGTGCCATGGTATAGCCGTGCCATGGTATAGCCGTGCCATGGTATAGCCGTGCCATGGTATAGCCGTGCCATGGTATAGCCGTGCCATGGTATATCCGTGCCATGGTAGAGCCGTGCCATGGTATAGCCGTGCCATGGTATAGCCGTGCCATGGTATAGCCGTGCCATGGTATAGCCGTGCCATGGTATAGCCGTGCCATGGTAGAGCCGTATGGTGGCATCGGTGTGTGCAGGGCAGAGGCTTCACAGAGAATACATTAGTCTTTGTCTGTGCAGGGAACAGAGCGTTCTCAGAGCTGCCGTGTCGAACATGCAAATCAGCCGAGTGTAGGCTCTGAATACCATATCTATGAAATGTTGAGTGCTGCGCTATGCTAACCTGTGAAGAATGGTAATGCATGTCTTTGAGCCGGGAGTCCAGCGGTACCAGGTCTGGAATCTGGAGCCAGACCATAACAGAGCAGCAAATAATCTTCAGTCTCTGAGGGAAAGTAATAATCCCACCTCAAATGTTTTATACATACAGATAGATACAGATAGATACAGATAGATACATATAGATACATAGATACAGATAGATACAGATATACAGATAGATAGATACATACATAGATAGATACATAGATAGATAAAAACACATCCATCAAAACAAATAAATATATAATTCTAAAAGTATCTAACAATAATAATAATTAAAGCCGCAAGCGGCATCTAACGGCCCTCGCCGCACCGCGCAAAGGAGGTGGCGCTGACGCGCCATTTTCCTACCCCCCTGATGGGAGCGAGACTGTGCATTTTGAATTACTATGATCAGTGATTGTGTGTCTCTATTGAAAAGGTAAACCCCAGTCTCTCCATGTAACACTTGTATCACTCTGTAGGGGCGCTAATGCTGCATTTCCATGATTTACACGTTCAGTTTACTCAAACCCAAGAGTTGGACTATCAAATCAAATTTTGTGCAAATCGGACCTTTTATGTGCAAATGGCGGCATTTAATGTTGTACAACAGAGCCCCCTACAATTTAATTTTTTTAGTGTTATACCAAAGAAAACCAAAATAATAGACTTTATGCCTGAAAAAAACGTGTGGCAAAGTTTGGTGATTTTTTATGTTTGTTATGTGGGTCAAATATGAGATCAAACAACATAAAACCTAAATACTGTATCCCCATGTAAACCTTTACTCAGCCTGTAGGGGGCGCTAATGGGCCAATGTCATTGTTCACACTGTCATGTGACCTAGGCCCAGGAGTTGAACAACCGAGTCAAGTTTAGTGCAAATCAGAGTTTGTAAATGTGCTCCTGTTTGCACATACAATCTGTGAGTGTGTCCATACAGTCTCCATTGGATAACATGGGAACTTCACACCTCTCTATGAAAATGACCACACTTTGGGGGTCTGTCACGCTCAGACCGTTTGACTAATTAAAACTCTATATGCAACTATTGATGGTCCATGTGTGGAGACCATGTGGAGCGATTTTCAGACAAATTAGTGAAACGGCCGCGGCTGGTTTGATGTTTGAGCGAGGTGTACTTTTCAGAGATTTAACGATTTTCTCATAGACACAGACAGGGGAGTGTTGGTCGTCGCCACGGCAACAGGGTAAAAAATAACCATATGTTGTCATTGACTTTTTGAATCCAGATGACAAAACAGAATTATGTGCAAAATTTCAAACATTTTGAACAAACTAAGTACATAAAATTTTGAAAGCGTCTGTAGGGGGCGCTATTTCTGCAATATCATGTTTTAGACTTTTACTTTACCAAAACCCAAAAGTTGAACAACCGTTTAAAATTTGGTGTAAATCGGACTTTGTATGTGCAAACGGTGGCTTTTACTTTGTAGAACAGCGCCCCCTATAATATTTTTATTTTAGTCTCATATCAATGAACACCAAAATAATGCATGTTATGTGAAAACAAAACTTGTGGCAAAATTTGGTAAGTTTTCATGCATGTTCAGGGGGTCAAATATGAGATCAAACAACAGAAAACTTGTTCTTTCCCAGGTATTCCTGGCAAAAAACAAGTATAATTAAAGCCGCAAGCGGCATCTAACGGCCCTCGCCGCACCGCGCAAAGGAGGTGGCGCTGACGCGCCATTTTCCTACCGCCCTGATGGGAGCGACACTGTGCATTTTGAATTTCTATGATCAGTGATTGTGTGTGTCTTTGAAAAGGTAAACCTCATTCTCTCCATGTAATACTTGAATCAGTCTGTAGGGGGCCCTAATGCTGCATTTCCATGATTTACACGTTCAGTTTACTCAAACCCAAGAGTTGGACTATCAAATCAAATTTTGTGCAAATCGGACCTTTTATGTGCAAATGGTGGCCTTTAATGTTGTACAACAGCGCGCCCCCTACAATTTAATTTTTTAGTGTTATACCAAAGAAAACCGAAATAATAGACTTTATGCCTGAAAAAAACTTGTGGCAAAGTTTGGTGATTTTTTATGTTTGTTATGTGGGTCAAATATGAGATCAAACAAAATAAAACCTAAATACCTGTATCCCCATGTAAACCTTTACTCAGCCTGTAGGGGGCGCTAATGGGCCAATGTCATTGTTCACACTGTCATGTGACCTAGGCCCAGGAGTTGAACAACCGAGGCAAGTTTAGTGCAAATCAGAGTTTGTAAATGTGCTCCTGTTTACACATACAATCTGTGAGTGTGTCCATACAGTCTCCATTGGATAACATGGGAACTTCACACCTCTCTATGAAAATAACCACACTTTGGGAGTCTGTCACGCGCAGACCATTTGACTAATTCAAATTCTATATTCAACTATTGATGGTCCATGTGTTGGGACCATGTGGAGCGATTTTCAGACAAATTAGTGAAACTTTTCAGAGATTTAACGATTTACCCATAAACACAGACAGGGGAGTGTTTGTCGTCGCCACGGCAACAGGGTAAAAAATAATCATATGTTGTCATTGACTTTTTGAATCCAGATGTAAAAACAGAATTATGTGCAAAATTTCAAACAATTTGAAAAAACAAAATTTTATTAGGCCCATGTAAAACTTTGACATAGTCTGTAGGGGGCGCTAATGAGCCAATTTCAATATTTCAACTTTCAAATGACCTAGACCCTGGAGTTGAACAATGGATACAAATTTTGTGCAAATCTGACTATTTTTGTGCAAATGGGAGCAAATTTACTTTTGTCAAAAATTGGGAAAAAAATGTCAAATTTTGCCGCTCCGCTGCTCGGACAACGTTTAACTGATCCAAATTCTATATTCAATAATAGATGGGACATGGGTTTAGACCATGTGGAGCGATTTTGAGACAAATAGGTGAAGCGGCCGAGGAGGAGATAATTTTCAGCCGACATGTGTGAAAAAGATCAATTTTCATTTTTCCATTTTCCAATTAAATTAATGAGCTTCCTGTTTGTCAGGGGGCGGAGCCATAATAACTTTTTTTTCATGTCTTGACCTGAGGAACATGTGTACCGAATTTCGTGGCTCTACGACAAACTTGACCTTCGACCCCCTCCCATAGGCGCAATGTAAACTGACTTTTGTAGGGGGCGCTGTTCTGTCATTTTTTTAGTCCCATAAAAGTAAACACCAAAAAAATTAATTTTTCGCCAGTTCTGAATTTTGGGCAAAATTTCACAACTTTTCATCAATGTTCAGGGGGTCAAATTAAGGTTCAAAGCGCAGAAGAAAAAAGAAAGAAAGAAAGAAATAAATAAGGAATTTTTTTTTGAAATCTTCGAGCAAAAACAATATAGGTTTCCATAGTAACCTATAATACAAATGATACGTCGTTTTAAAGCGAACGACGAGGCGAACGCAACTATTGGGTTCTCGGTGATTGACGAGCGCTAACGCGCTCGTCAATCACCTCGCCATCATGAGGTCACCCACCCCCCCCATAGGACCCCATTGATTACACTGTGTACTACAGCAGGAGCAAAGCCATTCAGTGCCTCCGGCACTGTTTTGTCAGTGTCTGGGCACGCGCCGTCGGGCTTGGGGGACGAATGTCCGGGCTTCGCCCGGACATTCGTCCGTAAGACAGTTGAAGGAACCCCCCTTTAATAGGACTTTAATCATTTCACTGTGTACTACAGCAGGAACAAAGCCATTCCGTGCCTCCGGCACGGATTTATCAGTGCTTGGGCACGTGCCGTCGCGTGCAGGTCACAATCTCCGGGCTGCGCCCGGAGATTGTGACTTAAAACAGTTCAACGAGTAATGCCTGGGCTTCGCCCAGGCATTACTCGTTGGAAAAGCAATAGGCCCTTACCCCGGTTGGGGCTCGGGCCTAATTAAAGCCGCAAGCGGCATCTAACGGCCCTCGCCGCACCGCGCAAAGGAGGTGGCGCTAACGCGCCATTTTTTTGCCCCCCTGATGGGAGCGACACTGTGTAATTTTACTTTCTATGATTAGTGATTGTGTTTCTCTATTCAAAAGATATACCTCATTTTCCCCATGTAACACTTGTATCACTCTGTAGGGGGCGCTGATGCTGCATTTCCATGATTTACACGTTCAGTTTACTCAAACCCTGGAGTTGAACAATCGATTCAAATTTTGTGCAAATCGGACTTTGTATGTGCAAATGACGGGCATTTATGTTGTACAATAGCCCCCCTAGCATTTAAATTTTTTAGTCTTATACCAAAGAACACCAAAATAATACACTTTATGCCTGAAAAAAACTTGTGGCAAAGTTTGGTGAGTTTTCATGTTTGAAAAGTGGGTCAAATATGAGATCAAACAAATAAACCCAAATAACTGTATCCCCATGTGAACCTTTACTCAGCCTGTAGGGGGCGCTAATGGGCCAATGTCATTGTTCACACTGTCATGTGACCTAGGCCCAGGAGTTGAACAACCGAGTCAAGTTTAGTGCAAATCAGAGTTTGTGTATGTGCAAACAGGAGCACATACAATCTGTGAGTGTGTCCATACACAGTCTCCATTGGATAACATGGGAACTTCACACCTCTCTATGAAAATATCCACCCTTTGGGAGTCTGTCAGCCGCAAACCGTTTGACTAATTAAAACTCTATATGCAACTATTGATGGTCCATGTGTTGAGACGATGTGGAAGGATTTTCAGACAAATTAGTGAAACGGCCGAGGCTGGTTTGATGTTTGAGCGAGGTGTACTTTTAAGAGATTTAACGATTTTCTCATAGACACAGACAGGGGAGTGTTGGTCGTCGCCACGGCAACAG